GTCTCTGTTCCATGTATTAACTGTTGGTCCAATGTATTTTATATTTAAAAAACGCTGCAACCGATCCCTAGCTTCTATTACGGTCCCATTACTTGTCAATCCTAATAATGTAAAATATTGAAATATTTCCCCGTCCGTAAATTGTTTAATAATATCTGCGATTACTATTGTTATCGTCTCATGGCTTAATGCCTGCAGTTCGTTCCCCCCCGGTCACGCTTGCACTAAAGGAAAATTCTAGGTCCTCTAGTGAAACCGTCATGTTTATGTGTACGTTGTACTAGAGGTTACCCAAAACAAAGCCGGACGATAGAGAGTATACTGCACGTTTGTTGCACTTTGTTTATACTGTAAGGCTACTATAGGGCTCTATTCGAACAAGTTTTTCAAAATACCGAATTTTCGTACTAGCAATCTGCTATACGAATGTAAACACTGTATTTATCCTACTATCGAACTTTCACTTCGTGTCTTGAGAAACTATATCCTATACACCATTTACATTGGATGATGACTATTAATACCGTACAACGTCACGCCTTAAAATAAAAGGAAGATACTTTATTATTATTTTATTGCGCACAAGCAAGGCCAAAACGGTAGTGCACTAACGAATGACCAACAGACAATAAAATTTTTAAACACAATAAATACTTAAAAATGACACACTGTGCATCATAATTGCATATTTATTATTTTATACTATAAACACAGCTTGCCATCAGAATTCATGTAGCGATACAGCAGGCGATCTTATCCCCTATACATACATGTAAAATAATCACAAAGGCCAGGCAGTGTATGTAAGCTAACCTACCTGCCTAGGCATACGGCGAGCACACAAAATGGCCACTTAAAGCACTGCACCGAGCAATTGCCTGTACAACTAGTCGAGCGCCCTGTGATGTGTCGTGCCTTGATCACCTTGTAGTCAGCAGCAAGACACGGCACATATAAAATATTTCTTTATCAAGACTTACTATAGGGCTAAGCGGATAGGAGAGGTAGCTGGCAATCAGTATACATCCAAGCATTTATTTACATTTATTAATAACTCAAAACTTATTAGTATTTCTATACAATGTTTACTCTGCCAGACTATCCGATTTGGCCTGACTCTATACAACCTCAGCCCTGCAGGTGCAGGTTCGGCAGTTGCTGCTCGGCACAATGCTTGTCTACGGTAGGGGCGGGATAAATAGGAAATAGGCCTACCGTTCTTTTCTTACAGCAGGGGTCTCTCTGTAGCACTATCCTTGAATACCGGGAGGTCCGACGAGCAGGGGTTGGCACTCAAACCCAGCAGTCCTTGACAGCGTGTGTGTGAAGGTCGTAGTGGCAGTCCGGGTAGCCAACAGGTAGCCGTTGTTGTGCGTCTCCGGTGGCCACTCGGTACAGCACACAGTCGTATCTTGCACACACACCCGTAGAACTATATAATGTTGCGAAGCTTTTGGATTATACGTCCCGGCGGGAAGCAGACAAGACGGAGAGTGCCTTTCTTATCGCCCAGCCGATTCGTGCTTCCTGATACTGTAGCTATCTGCCTGTGTATGCGTCGGTGCGTATACCAGCAATGCAGGCTGATGATTAGTTCACAACAGCAGAATACGTGACTCACAAAGGATTTGATGAAACATATGATAACATGAGTATTAATTTTTTAACAGAATTTTTAAATAATATCAAAGAAGGTCTTCTACCACGCGAATAAGAATTAAAAATAAATGCTATAGTAGTGTTAATAAGAACTTTAAGTGAATCAGACGGTCTCTGTTGAGGCATAAGACTAAAAATAACAAAATTATTTAAGTATGATATAGAAGCAGAAATAATAACCGGAGAAAAAAAAGGCAAAGTTTATATTCCTAGAATAACATTGAATACTGGCACCTCATCATCATTACCTTAGGCCTTCTTTAGGAAACAGTTTCCCTTTGTATTAGCACGTTTATGTTTATCAACAAATTAGAAAAACAGAGTTTTGATTCCTTAGGATTGTATATTGAAAAACTTTTATTCTCTTACGGACAATTATACGTTGCTTTTATATGATGTAAGAATCCAAAAAAAATTTTTATTTAGATTGAAATGATTGAAATAAATTAGAAATTAAAAATATTAGTTAGCAAGAAATTTTTAAGTAATTCAAAAATATGTAACTTTGAAAATCGTTACATTTAAACAGACGTATGGTAACTTATAAAAATCATGAAAAACAAATATGTGAAAAATGTGGAAAGGGTTTTAAAAGAACAGATGGGTTAAAACGACAGATGAAATGTCACAACATTAAGCTAACAGAATGAATTATTGTTTCAAAAGCTTAATTGTGTTTGTCTATTCAATTTTACCTTTTCCTGAATTCTGTCTTTTTGTTAATAAAGTCCTAAGGTAATCAAGAATTCTATATTTGGGTGAAATAAACATGGACCAGAAAGAGACTCCAAATGTAAAAGTTCAATAAAGTTAAACAAATAATGGTATTTCAGAGACATATAGTAAGTAAGGGGGAGCGAATATACAGAGGGAGACGTATGATCAGTGACTTAAAAACCCTAAAAACGAGCAATGACTTGGGTACTAAATTGCGTATATTTTTCAACATTTATCATAGTAAAACATTCTATAAATAATTATTTTCTGGAGGGAGGGGGAGGGGGAGAGGGGGGAGCTCACTCAAATATAATTTGATAAAAAATGATGTAAAAACAAGCAAATAACTACGTAAATTGAGGGGAAGCTAGAAAATAGCGTTTGTTTGGTAGTATATCCAATATTCTCTCTGTTGCTAAAAAAGTTAAAAAGTAACTAGGCAAAAATCACTAGCAACAAGTGTCGGGACCCAACTAGGTACTAACATTTAATGACCGGGACCCAACTAAGAACCGACATTTAATAACTGGGACCCAACTCGGTACCGACATTTAACGACCAGGATCCAACTCGGTACCGACATTTAAATACCGGGACCCAACTCGGCACTTTTAATCAGTTTGGGACCCAACTCGACATCGGCTGGTACCGTTATCCCCAGTGAACGTATATATTTCTTTCCAGTCTTCCTTTGTTGCTCCGTCTTCAATAAATAATTTAACCTGCTTCTTCGCAAAAATCTAGAAGTTCCCCCATCCCTCTCTATTTACTTTTTTGTCAGCAAAATTTTCGCTTGATTCCGTACCACCTTCGCTATGAACCTGCCACTGTCCTATTCTCGCGTTGAAGTCCGATTTATTAAGACTAACTCTCCTTTATTAGAACAGTCATTTACTACATGCAGTAATTTCCTAAAAATGAGTTGTATTTTTGTGTTATTGTACACCCCAATATGCTCGCTTTTCAATTTTTTATTTTCAACCCTCTTACAGTTAACCCGTATTCCCATTTATCTACCTTATATTTGGTAATATGCTTTTTAATACCTATCAGAGCTCCTGCTTTAGCCCTCCTCCTTTTGTTCTCTGTAACTGCCACTTTCCAAACCCAGTTATAATTTTGATTTAGTTTATTCTCTCAACCACTTCAGTTGCACTTTTTTACCCATATTTCATGTCATTTTATAACATCAAATTTATTTAGGTGATTTTTAGCTTTAGTTTTTTTTATACCTGCTACATTCCATGAAAGGATTTTTCCACTCTATTTTCTCTTATTGAAAGTTACCTTCCTTATTTTGAAACCACCTATATTTCCTTTTTTCGTTTTCCAAACCTTCCTTTACTTTGTCCCCCAACCGTTTCTTATTATTTTTCATTTTAAGATATCTCCTGCGCATCTTAAACCCTTTTTTTCTCCTTCTCTTTTCTTATTTGTATCCACCTTGATATTTCTTTTTTTGTAAAGTTGTCATCTAACCGTAAGTTAAGACCTTTAAGCTTTTCTTTGTTTCTCATAATATTTATCTTATTTTCTAGTGTTCTTAGTTCAACTACAAGTCTTCCCTCCCCCTGATTACCCTTGTTCTTACTGCTTGCAACTACATGCCTATCCTATGTAGTAGTGATTCATCAATTCTTTTATCATGCCCCTCCTAACCATGCGTATCTTTCTCATAAATATGCTATTTTTTCTCCTCTTTCTTTCACTTTTTTTATATTTTAGTTCCCATTAATTCATAGCTTCCGGCTATCAAGGCTCATTCACACTGTTCACACCATTTTCACTCGCTTTAGATTCTTTTGTATTGTAACAATCTGTTCCTTGGTTTTAATACAAAGTATTTGATCCATTTTTTCAAAATACAAAAATTAAAGAACACCCAAAAATGTGACTAACCTTACTACTTATCAAAATCGCTGAGAATGCCAACATATGGTAAACATAAGTGTACTAACGTAACAAAAAAAATTTGATAATTAAATGTACACAGCCCGCGAAAATTAAAAATTCACCTTTTCTTTAGAACAGACCTCGTATGTATGGTCTTTTTGACGACCAACATAATCTCAGTAAAAGTGGTGATGGAAAAAGTCAAAAATGAGAAGGAAGAGTTTATTGACTTATGATAATGTAGATGCTAAGACAAGATAAATACGAGGGAAAATGCCTGAAATTATCGTAAGAGGTTGTAATTAAACAAATTATCTCAAAAGTCTACATTAGAATTGGCCAATACTAGACTATACGAATTACGTATTTGTCTTCAAGTATAGATGCAAAGCATGACTTTCATATGACTTTATGTCAAATAAATAAAAATAGTAACTTGAATAAATATTCTGTTTATAGTTCACATTTGTGTATGCAATGATGTGTTCTACAATTTTATATGCATACTTAATCACATAATGATTTTTCCTAAGTTTTCCATTTGACCTATGCCACAGAATAAAAAGAAACGTATTCAGAAATATCGTATATCTCTATATTAAACGATGATTAATTAACGCTACTACAATAACAGTTTCGTTAATAAAAAATATTTTTAAACAGACAAGCAATGTTAAAAAATATCTTCTGTTTTAAAAAACTAAATGAATAAATATCTTATAAATATTAACCTTTCGCTTTATAGAAGAGGGACAGTCATTTTTCTGCAGAGAGAATGCGATTAATTTATTTGGCACTACTGTTCTTGGATCCTTTAATCTGGCGTGCTTTATTAAAGGTTCTTCCTTTACTGTTTTTATCGACATTTTTTTAGTATTTTTATGATTTAATGTAGTGTACAGTCCCATCCAGCTCGGCTCTTCAGAGTCTTGAGTTGTAATTATTTCTTCTGAATGAATTTGACTTCTAGTAATCGATTTTTCTTTAGTAGTTATTCTATCTACAGAATTCGAAGAAATCTTGTTAGGAAGATCATCTTCAGTGTCTAGTTTAGCCTCCAATAGTTCTTTTAAGGCTTCCGAGATTTTTTTTTTTTCGTGAGTCACGTGATTTTTTGATTCAAATGTTGAATCCAGTGACAATTTAAGAGAAGCCTCAATTTCTAACTTAGATTTTGTCAACGTATTCGAATCACATTTTCTACGAATTCTTTCACTTAGAGGTAGGATAGAAGAAAAAATTTGGAGAGGTTCTGTCAATCCATTTTCAGGTGGTAGTTCCATTGCATCTAACTGTGATATAGATTTTTTACAAGTTAAACTACTAAGCATATGTGACGTGTGTGATTGCCTATTATCTGAATCCTCAACAGACTCAAAGTTTTTGACTCCACAAAAATATTGAGCTGTGTCAATGGTTTTATTGGTGCTAGAACCAGGAGATTCTTTAAGTGACAAATTCGTCTTTTCTTTATGCTCACTAATTTTATCTCTCAAACAATTTTCTGTTTTCTCGATTTTTTCTGATTCTTTTTTCTGTGGTAAAGATTCACTATTGGCTCTTGATATCACATCATTTTTTTTTAAATATTCCAAACTCGTCACTGATTTGCAAGAGTTTTTTATAAATCTTAAATTTTTTTTTCTTTTATTTTTTTTTTTAACGTACTCAAAGTCAGAATCTAAATCTTTCCTTGAAGTTCCTAATAATATCTTTTTGCTTATTAAAGTTTTATTGGTTTTCGAATAAACGCAAGGATTTTCTCTGAAATAATCTGTATAATTTTTTGTACTGTCTAAACAACCAACTGCTTTTTCGATCCTATTATCCATGGCATATTTTTCAACAGATTCATTTTTCTTACAAGTAACCTGCATTGCATTAGTTGTAACATCCATACATGTTTTTTCTTCATTATAGAAGTTTTCTGACAATGTAATAATTTTATTTTTTTCTGATTGACATACTAAAGCCTGTAGTAGTTCGATTTTTGACTTTGTAGCTGAGACTTCTGCTGCTGATCTGTCAACATTCAAATAATCTGTGTTTGTTAATATTTTTCCAGAAACAATACTTCCCGTCATTTCATTTAATTGTGATTCCTTGTTTACATCTACATTTGTTTCAAGTTCCAAATTACTAGAGCACCGAACATTGAGTTTGCATTGCGGTAAATTATCAAGATTTTTTTTAGAAACAAAACTAGTATCCATAGAATTTTCAGGAACGGTACCTACAGCGACCTCTTTCTCTGATTTTGTTGAAAGATATAATTGTTGTTCCTCTTTAGGTCTAACTTCCACTGTTTCATCTATCTTATTTACCATTTCAATTCCTGAATCAACTTCTTCTCTCGATAAACTAATATCATAGATCTCTGATAACTGTTTTTTATCAGTGTTGAAAGACGATATACGTTCCATTATGTCATCCTGCAACCAAGCAATGAAAATTACATTATTGATAATAAAACTAATCAAATACGTATAGATTATTATCTTCTAATAAAAACTTTGTTTTATCATGAATTTATTATAAATATAATTTTAAAATTTTTTTATAATTTTTTGTATGAATATAAATATGTGTTAAAGTATATACTATCACGCCAAAGATGAAAACTTTTAACTCATGGTTACTCTGAAAAAGAAAAAGAATTACAAAAACTACAGTATACTTCACTTTCCTGACAACAAAATTTGTTCATGTTAAATTGAAATCGAGTACTATTAAACGCTATTAAAATAAAATAATATGTATGCAAAACAGTCAACCTTATCAAAATAAAATATCTATATGTAATCTAGTAAAATTTGCATCAAAACTCTATACTTTTTCTTAAGATATAATATTTCTTCTTTTAGGCAATTAATAACAAGCTTTTAGACTTGTACTTTTTTTTTTACATAACTTAAACTTTGTCCTAACGTCAAGTATTAATTTTGTCTCTTGGAGTGAAAAGTGTACTTCTGTGGGCATTGTGTTTATATTATTATTATTATTAGTTGACATTCAATTTTATTAACATAAGTCAGTGTATTAAGATTATGAAGGGAACTCACGCACGCTACTTTTAAAAGGTCCTCTAGTTGACTGAGCACTTGTACGTCGTTAAAACGACCAAAACTCAATAACCCATCGTGCAAAGCACAAAACACAGAGCCTTAGTACTTTATCTTCCATAACCCACTGCCCTACCAATTTTCTGTGATATTATAACTATAAAATACGTTCCGTTATCAAATAACTTCCTCCCTATTGGTCTGATTAAAAAATAAGTAATAAAGAAAAATTTTTAATAAAAGCAAGATACGTATAAGTGTAGTGTAGCATCTTTATGAAGTAAATCTGTGATGTTCCACATATCATTATTGGCCTCTTCAGACTCGCCTACTCAAGGCATTATAAGAACACAACTAAAAAATTTTACATTGTAAACTCAATAAGAAGAAATATCAATATCTATTAAAAAAATAAAGCAGTACGAATAAACTATGTTTCATCATTCTTACATTAAGATAAAAAATACTATTTATAAACACTATAAAGTTTGCTCCAAGAATCCCACTTGCTTTCGTATGAACAACACAAAAAGAAAAAAAGTTCGTTACATCAATAAAAACTGTGCAGACCCTAAAGTATAAGTTTGTTCCGTGAGCACAATAGGGTGTACGGAGACGTATGGCTGTAAGAATATGAAGACTGTAAATTAACTGAGTTAGCTTCTTCTCATGGCCCTGAATTTACAAGTGTCACAAAATAAAATTGCCAGGTTTGCTTTATTACAAGATCTTTAAGGTGCTCACCTTCCAAGAATTTTTCTTTGTGAAAAAGTTGATGCAAAGTAGGTCCTAAATGGCGGAACAGCGTGTTGGTAACAAGAGTCTGGCTGTTGTAAGGAAGTGATACAACCTTTTCGAAGTCCAAAGGAATAGAACAGGCCCAAGCTCTACATCCGCACGAGCCGCACAAGCACCGAAGGTAGTCTATGTTCTTACAAGTATAGAGAGTCAAGCCCACAAAAACAGGCACATTTAGAAAAGGTGTCTTCTACATCACTCATTTCACATGCTTAAGCTGGCTCTACTATGGTACTCTAGTCTTTCGTTAAAATAAGGCATACCATTTACCGAGCAGTGTATCTTCATGTAATCATCACTTACAAGTGAACAGTGTTATCACAACAAATTGGAAAATATATCAAACGTATAATACTTATACATCATGTATTAAAAAAGACATATGAGAATGCATAAAAAAATAAAAGTATAGAAATATGAGAAACTAAATTTTAATAATGAAGAGAAAAATAGAAAAAGAGAAAAAAATTAATAAAAAATAATCCATACGAAATGGTGAACATCATTAATAAAACTAATGCACGTAGGATTCAAGTAGGACCAATCCGTTTTTCTGTATATACTGTTGTCAAACCAAAAAATGTTAAACAGCTCAAAGAATTCCCTGCGATAGTCATTGCCATCCCTATCTCAAACTACGACCCTACCTAAATTGAAAGAATTAAAACAATGCGTACAATGTCTAGAACAGATTTAGTTTTTTGTTCAATATATTTCTTTTATGTTTATAAATTCTTCTTTTTANTTACTTTAATTATTTATGATAAATAAAATAATACCGCAAGCGCCAATCCCCACACAACCAGAGGCACTTACTAGTTGCTTTAATTATTTATGATTAATAGAATAATAACGCAATGAAGCACCTATCCCCACACAACCAGGGGCACTTACTGGTTGCTTTAATTATTAATGATTAATTAAAGAATACCGCAAGCGCCTATCCCCACGCAACCAGGGGCACTTACTGGTGGCTTTAATTATTTATGATTAATGAAATAATAACGCAAGCGCCTATCCCCACCCAACCAGAAGTACTTACTGGTTGCTTAGAATATTTTCAATCTTATAGGAAAATATTTATTGTAAGGAAGAAAAACCGAACGTCTAGAAACCGAAGAAAATTGTAGTTATATCAACGAATTACCCACCCCACCATATTACCATAAATTTATGTAAATCTAAATTTTATCGTTTTGACAACAAACAAACTACAAACCGATAACATTTATTAAAAGGCAAAAGCCTTCTAATAATATTTAGATTCGTTGTGTAGAACTCAAACTCATACTGGAGAAAACATCTGTCTATCAGCTTAATGATGATGGCCCTTTATGGGGATATGGCCCTATCAAAAGCTAAGCTTTTCTTAAACCAATTAAATTTACAAGGACCATTAATCGATGTGTTAATCGTAAAATCTAAAAAGGGAAGTGCATTATTGTACAGTATTTCTATTTAATTTTAAATTCTACAGTAAAATAACTGTATCGGTTAAAGCTGTTGAAAAAAAAAATAAAACGTTTCCTACTTTTCCAATGCCAATAACTGGGAAAAGTTATCATCCTGTATTCCATAATATATTACGTAAGGACCAGATATTCTGAGAATCAAAACTTTTAATTTCTCTAGTACCATTTCAGCAAAGAAAAGATTACAAGTAACACCCAAGCAACCAAAACATTGACGGGGACATTTATCATTGCATTTAAAAAAGGTTGAGTTTAGTTCCAGACATTTCTTTTATTAATAAATCAAAAGGTCAGTTCGAAAAGAGTGAAAAAACATTTAAAAAAACACAAATATAAAATTTTCAGGAACGACAGAATCCATGAAAGTAGCCTTAAATTCTAAAGAACTACTCTAAGAAAACTGGGACTTTAGAATTAAGTGATCCAGAAAAATAGAAAACCATTAATCAAACATTTGTAAAAGATATCCTATAAATGAAACTATTAACCAAGCTGAAGCATCCTGCGTAAGTACTTTAATGAAATTATGTGCTCTAGCTAGAATCCCATTATCTATATTAGACAAATATCAAATATGAATGTGTATGAATGCCCTGTTTTTCGACATATTCTGAGTAATTAAAAAAAATAAAGTTTAAAAAAAATTCAAGAAGATGCTATTTTTTTGTTAAAATTTCAAATAAATAATGTACCCTATTTACAACATAAAAAATTTTTCCCTTAAAAGTAAGCCACCAACGGCAAAAAAATGTAAATTAATAAGAATGTAACGATGTCAGTCCACTAAAAAAATTTAAAATACAACAATTTAAAGTATACATAACTTTTACACGCATTCTGATAAATATAAGTTATACTTTTCAATTAACCTTTGACGTCCAGAACATTTCAAAAAAGCATAAAAAAAGTATTGATAGTAAAAAAAACTTTTTTCTCAATTTTAAGAATAATAGATTCCGTGTTACATATCAAAGTTGCTTTCTCAAAAAGTAATTTTCTAATGAACGAAGAAGAACTTATCTGTTTAATATGGAACAGAAATATTATTTCAACATGCCATGTAATCAAACTTGTTCTTCGTGAGCTACTCTTGTAATTGTAATTACCCTATAAAGTGATGGATGTGCGCTCTGCAAACCTTATTTTACAGCAAAAACTATTTTACGTTGCATTACTCTCATATTTGTTTGAGTAAAGCACAGAATAAGTGCGACACGTAAAAATGCTATAGTCAACTGGCTATCGACTGTATTTATGGCTGGGCTTAATTATTCGAGAAATCAATTTAGTAAGTCAATCCAAGTACCCCGTGAATCGGATTTTTCACTTCACAAAATGCATAGTAATGCTATTGTGTGAACATACAGTACAATAACAACAAAAGTTAAGATCACTCTCGATATTAAATATTTAATAGTTGACAGATCAAATAAGAAGATTAGAATGGTGGAGCAAATAAATGGTATGGTTACAATACTACTAAATTTTTTAATTTAATACTACTGATACATACTTTAAGTAAATCTTTTTTTACTCCTACTCAGTATGTACTAATGAATGCAGTATTTTTAATGATAAGATTAACCTAACGTACGTGATGTAGGCATAATTCTAAATTTTCTCAAAAAAATTCTTTATTTTATAAGTTCGATTCTTATGGAAAATACTTTTAAATTGATATTTTGCGTTTATAGTTTTAATTCAAAGAAATTATTTTCGTTAGATAGTTTTTATAGAAACGGATTTTGCACTAACCAATTAAAGGACCTTATTGAAAGCAAATTTTGTAGAGGGAAAAAGGGTGCAAACATGTAACAAAGTTCCAAGTTCTTGCCACATGTAACTGAAATGTTAATGCACTTCGGAGTATATGTAAAGAATTTTATTTACAATAATTATACAAAAATTATATTATGCTCATTTTTTACAATCTATGAACAGTCATTACTACTCACTTATAATTTTCGAATACATTGAGTATGTTTGGAAATGTTACACCTTTTCGAACGTAGACAAACGGCAAGTTATTCAATTTTTTTTTATTCATAATAATACCATATTATTATTACAAAAACAGTGAGCGTTTAGAAAAGTCTATAA